CAGCGGGTGGTAATGGATTATTTTCGTGGAAAGTGTATTTCACGGATTTTCTTGCTTGAAGCTCATTTTTCACCGTTGTTCGTGCAAATTGGTTAAAAAGCAGCGTGTAATCTATAATTTTTAGTTTCGTTCAACGTGAAATGATCATTTTATTTCCCGTTCATTCAATCCCCCCACCCCCTTTTTAACAACCCTCTATATTACATATTTATGGAAGTATCACCTTGTGTTATTAAGTTCCAATAAACATCCCACTAGAAGTGAATGTAGTAAGAGAAATTGATGGGATGTGTACTGAGCAGACCTCAGTTCTTTTAAGTTTCGTGGTTTTATTCCATATCTAATTATCCTGTAGTTTCTTCCAAGAAATTCGACTTACTCAAAAACCTTCCTAGTAATTTATTTACCTTAATTGTCAATGTCGTGAAGCTATTATATCGCCTTTGTTGTGTATCATTATATTACATTCGTGATTCAAACAATAGAAGAACAACCGTTGAATTAGATCATGTGTATCGATAATACGGGTATTTAAAGGAACATACTTTTTGTTTTCGGTTTGTTTTTTGAGAACCAAAATGGAAAGCATAATATCAACTGTCCTATCTGGAATTATAATCGTTCTCACCTTCGCTTATTTGTAAGTATAAATATTTGTGTAGAATAATCGTAAAATTCAATAAGTGAAATTAGGAGTTCTACTATTTAACCTTCTTTAAATAGCTGCAATTCAGGATAACTGTTTTTGTATTTGAAACCTCGTAGTGAAAATCCCCCAAATCCTTCCAGGTAATTCAGCCTGTTGATAATTCGGAGACTATGGGTCAAACTCGTCTATAAAAAAAATAATGATAAATTTTTACGAAATACCATTCCGGAAATAAATCAAGTTGTACTTGCAAAAAGTAACAGATGAAGACAATAATAACATACCGTACGTAGAAAGTCTAGATAGCCTGTGCAGTGATTTAATTGGACCAAGAGAAACTTCTGAAAGATATTATTGGATGCTCCGGTTAAAAATAGAGTTATCAAGTGGCCATAAAATCACACTTGTATTTTTGTGAATTTTAAAAAGTAGTTAAGATTTAATCACAAACACGCCTGTAGGTAAAACATCCTGTAAAAAACAAGTTTAACTGTATAATCAACGGCAATTATTATTGTCGTCCTAGGCCTATTTTTGGAACAAGTAATCAACCATGAACGTCGGTGAGTGTAGAATACAATATGTATCACGCATCATACAAGGGAAATGAGAGAATGGGCGAAATAACTTGACAGGCAGCCTGGCTGGTCAAATATTAGAACATCCGCTAGTCAGAATTCTATATTACTTAATCTCTATGCGTTTAACTTCGGGGGTAAAGCAATCACTTGTTTTCCAATACACAACCCCTTAAGTTGCTATAATTAGATAACTAGACTTTGATGGCTTAAACTAATTGTTTGAATGTGTATAAGATTATCGCTTTCATTCACATTGAATTAAATAATATTCAATGTCATACATTTTGATTTTTTATTCAGTTAGATACTAGTATATAATATGTACAAACGTGAAGATCTTGGGTGTTCAAGAAACGTTACATCTATATATATTATAGAGTGGTTCTGCGGTTAGAGCATTATAGATTAGGCCCGAGTTTATAGTATAGTTCTGCGGTAAGAGCATTATAGATTAGGTCCTAGTTTAAAGTATAGTTCTGCGGTCAGAGCATTATAGATTAGGCCCTAGTTTATAGTGAAGTTCTGCGGTTAGAGCATTATAGAAAGGCCCTAGTTTATAGTGTAGTTCTGCGGTTAGAGCATTATAGATTAGGCCCTAGTTTATCAAATAACTACATGCAGTTGATATGTGGTTCTACAAATAATTCAAATATCTCCATTTGTTCATACAATCATATAACACCGATCGCTTGATCCGCCTATAATATGTTTTAGTCCTCTCACGAACAAAATTATGACCCAAGTAAACCATACAATATAAGAAGGCACGGCCTTTGCTGGAACGGGAACATCGTTGTCTTTAGTTCATAACAAATTGCAAAAGAGCTCATTCATTTATATGATGTATATCTTTCGAATTTGCTGTTTATAAATTATATATACTTGTTCTGAAACTGAGGCTGCAACCCCTCAGACTTTATACCTATTAAAGCCTGATACTTGCAATTGGAATATTAGTTAACTTCCCAAACATTCGGGAAACACAGATAGGTCATTGACACGAAAATAGATAGTGTACTTTAAACATTTTGATATGAAGGGATTTCTTGTTTACTTTTGAAATTAGAATATCTGTATAAATAACAACTTAAAGTTAAATACAAATCAAAATACTTAGATAAGTATATATGACAATTATGGTATAGGCTGATATAAAATATCAGTACTATAAACTGTATAATTAAAGTTTAACACACAAGTAGTGGTTTATGTTAGAGATTAGTACAATTACCCATGGGATTTTGTTAGAAATCGAAATGTGAATATTTGACGAATCGTGTCAAATCCCATTTTTTTTAAACATTAGATGTAGTTAGCTGAAGGTCCCGAATCTTTGCCACAACGTTGTCAGTTTCTCTTCTACTAAGTACCCCCTTGGTATTTTCCGCGTCTTTTATAACAAACGTAAGCTTTTGGTCAAAACAGAAAACAAGAATAAGAACGCATAAATGGTCTAAAATTGGATGCTTTTTATGTTTTTTTTTATCTTGGAGAACTGCGGTAAAATATTTTATACCTTTCTCATAAACACATATTTTGATATCGGTCTTTTAATAAATATTTAAACTAGGTCTATACAAAGTATAAGTGACGCATAAAAAATAATATAAATATTTATATATTGGTGTGATTATACTCTGTAATAGTGTTGTATCTCCGTGATGAATTCTATAACATGTCCCGAGCACAGAGAGGTTCTATGTTAAATAAAGAACTGAGGTAGCGACCAAAGAAACACGAGAAACCTTCACCTGTATAGTGTTTTTGGATGGAACAATTTTTCTACTTGAACATTTTTCATATTGATTTGCTTGGATCAGAATATGTAATTTTATTTCTAGTTTAGATATATAAAGATATATTGCGTTTCTATTGCTTTTCTTTATCATCAAATACTAAGTTTCTTTCCAAATATGACATATTAAATTAAAGATAAGAAAAAGAATCGAATACATTGAATAATCATTATTACCATCAGTAAAAATAAGTGTGCTTCAGTTCTTCAATGAATCTAATAATTATCTACGTTTTGATGGGCCATCACATTGTAATTTTTCTATATTCACTGGTTCTATACAAATAAGAAACATGTTGTGTAATTGTTTCTGTGTAATTATTGTGTCATTGTTGTTAGGTCCCTGCGTCGTTGAAGCGTGCCCTTAACACCTCTTTTCGTTCATGTCAATGGTTTACCTCCCTTTTCAACACTATTCTGTGGTACAGTGACTGTCTCCAATATAAACGCTTAAATACACTAACATAGATAATGTGTCACCATGAATTTTGAATGGTATCAGAAACAATAGTAAGCATTGGCTTCAAATGGGCATAAACAGTACAACAAAACCCGCCTAAGGTCAACTCTAGTCCTATAACATAAGCCTTCGTAGGTTCATATCGTTTGCTATCGACGTTTTTATCGGATATTTTTTTTTACTATGGTTCGGCATTGATAGTAAAAAAAATATCCGATAAAAAACGTCGAAAGCAAACGATATGAACCTAACACATTTTATTTCTAATAATGAAGTGCAAACAACAGTCTTGTCAACCCTTCATGCTTCATCTAAATCCCAGTAAAACTGAAACTATGACTGGCTACATGAGGGTTGTACTCTTGTATACTAGTATTTAAGCCAAACAGTAGTGTTAACAAGCATGTAGTATCAAGTTACACCGGTTGTGTGTGTGTAGTATAAGTTACACCGGTTGTGTGTACCGTGAATAAGCCACACGTAGCTATACCCCATCGTAGTTCATTCAACTTTGCCTAGTAAAAAGAAAGGGGCAAGTTATCATACGAAATATCTATATGACTATGTTACATTAACAGGGCTTTAATGTAGCGAATAACAAGATACACAAGATTTGGTGAAATATTATTTCAAGATGAACAGAGGATCATGGGTCAAAATGATAAACAGTAATAACAACCAATATTTACAAACTTTTTGAACTGCTATAGATCATTTTTCTAATTAACCTATACCAGTAGTCTTCTTATCACGAACATCTAAAATAATCAACTGAATAGAGCAAGAAAACTATAATTATTAAGTGACCGTAGAGTGGAATAAAAATTTGTAATTCAATACAAGCAACAAAATATATGGTTACAAATTGGACGTCAAGGGCGAATACGTGACACTGGAAGTTCCTGGTAAATTGAACTTTAAACCCGGATGAAGTTGGAAATCTGTACTGACATTTAGAAATGAGGGTATGATTGTTAGGGATATTGTTTGCCCCACATATGGACCCTACTTAAGAGATGTTGCAAGGGTTATTTTACTTGCAAAGTGCGTGACACTCTCTCCATACAGGACATCAGACTATAAGTCCAAATTGTGAATGTTAATACAATTTTAGCTGCCTATTTAAACATGCTTCCCATTCAAAGCACCTCCTTTTTCCATCACATGTCTTATATATATTGTTTATTCAAACTACCATCATAAGTTGATATAAAATACTACTTTTCGTTGAAATATAGCCTTTTGTATCCCTCTACTTCCAACATATCATGACCTTTTTGTAATAAACAAATATAAACATAACAATTGATGGTGCATGTATGTGCGAGCTAGGTCAACAGCTGTCCACCACCGAGGCAAAATGTATGTACCTCTTTATGAACAAGGAAGTAAAAACAAAATAATGTTTTTTTTTTTTTTTTTTTTTATTGTTATACCTATTGACAGTTATATAAATTAAATGAAACACGAGATCAGATTTGTGTTCAAATATTTATTAAGATGATCGACAGATCTAACTTAAGTATATAAAGCTTTACTTACTCAGGTGTAGCGAGCTTTAAAGGAAGAGAAGTTTTCTTTGTAAATAGTTTGTCCAAAAAATGGAGTGTGTAACATCGTTTATCTTGTTTGGGATAGTTTTTACTCTCCTTTTAATCTATATGTGAGTATCAATATATATTGTTACTGTGTATTGTTTTAGAATATTTACTGTATAAAGAAAGCCGCATACTACACTTTTAATTTTTAAATCCGTATACCAATTTAAATACAAATCTAGAAATATCATAAAATTGATATTTGTGTCGGGAAATAAATTGTAGTCGTTGTCATGGTACAATGTGTACTATCTTTTATATTATCATTACATATTGTTCTATGTCCTCAAGCTCCTAATATTGTTTAAGGACTGTATGTTCACAATGTTATATAACACATAAACCATACCAAACAATTCTTTTTTTTTGTAGCTTTTGTTAACATATAACTGTATCATAGGGTGTATACTAATAATCAACTATTTCTACATTCATCTGCCAAGTAATAAAAGATTAATGTAAAAAGACAGATTAATGAATTATTTACTAAATAGTGAGCCCCGGGTGCCATAAAAAATACTAGATAATTAGTAGAATCAAATAAGATTATCGCTTCATTTGTTTGAATACGGTACTTAATCGTGCAATGTAGCAAATCGCACAATCTTCAAATACAGTAACTTTGGATCTAAATACATATGAAAAATGTTTGGAATGAACTTATTATCAGCCAACCCTATGAGAATTGAAAATAAAACGACGTAAAAGAATGTTACAGAATTCTGCTATTGAAAAGTACAAAGATTTATAACACCTGACCAATAATTATATATACTAGAAAATAGATTGACTCTTCTGTCTCGGTCTTTAAACTTTGCAGATGGTATCAAGACCCTATACGATAATATCAACATGGACGTTAAAATGAATATTCTAAGGACTATTTGTAGGAAAACTACATTGTAGTACAATCATTAGTCTGCGCATCAGTAAATGACATTAGATAAATATAGCCTTATTCTAAAATAAATCCGACTACGTTCGGGTATTTCACATCCAATATTTTATGGTAATATTCTTTACAAAGCACAAAAATGTCGGCATTCACCTCAAAAGCTAACCAAACCTTTAAACAGACTTATTCGGAAAGGATATAGTTACGATACTGTTGTCAAGTCATTAAGGATTGCATATTTTGGTATTAATATTGATTCACTCATAGGGTCTTTGCATCGGAAATAAACACATTTATTCTAAAACCAGTTATTGGCATGATACGGGTTATGTTCTTCTCATATATTTTATGATGATATGATAATAAACCCCGTACGAGAGGGATTGTACTTGATTTTCATATGATGAAGACATAATCTTTCAATCAGTTTAATTGAAGTCTGGAGCTGGCATGTCAGTAACTGCTTGTAGTCCTTTGTTCCTTTATGTATCATTGTCATTTTGTCATTAGTTTCTTTTGTTACCTATTCTGACATCGGACTCGAACTTCTTTTGAACTGAGTTTTACTGGGCGTATTGCTATGTGTTTCTTTATTATACATTGACTAGAGGTATAGGGGGAGGGTTGAGATCTCACTAAACATGTTTAACCCCGCCGCATTTTTGCGCCTGTCCCAAGTCAGGAGCCTCTGGCCTTTGTTAGTCTTGTATGTTTTTTAATTTTAGTTCATTTATATGTTTTGGAGTTTAGTGTGACGTCCATTTTCACTGAACTAGTACACAATTTTATTTAGGGGCCAGCTGAGGACCACCTCCTGGTGCGGGATTTTCTCGCTGCGTTGAAGACCCATTGGTGGCCTTCGGCTGTTGTCTGCTCTTTGGTCGGGTTGTTGTCTCTTTGACATATTCCCCATTTCCATTCTCAATTTTATTCCACATCAGTCTATAAAATGGTTCTATCATACTCTCAACCTTGCCTTCTGTTTTAATTATACTGGCATCTTTTCAATCTTTTTCGAGCTAAATCTAAAAATAGGAATACGGTACAATCATTTGTTATTTTCAAAAATTGCATTCAAATTACTGTCTACTGATACGGGTTGTTTACGACCTTGACTACACAAGAGGGTCTCACAGTGTCTGAATATTAAAAACTCACTTATTTATCATCGATGCATTATCATATCCATAGTCTATACTACGTGAGAAGTCGGGACGAGGCTCTGTCTATGCAAGTAGTGTAATGTGTAAAGAAACGTGACAAATCATTTAAAAAACACAAAGAAAATGTAAAGACAGGGTTAGCAAACATAATTGTGAAGTAAACATTGTATGAGTGTAAATTTTAAATAAAACTGAATATCAATACAATAGACTACAACTGTACTAAGGTTAAGATGATGATTGACAGATCCTATTTGACTAGAAGATAGACTTGCAATGGGGAAAGTATGGCGCGATAAAACTTCCGTTAGCCAAACACTGCGCTGAGACATTTTAACCTGGACCTCAGATATTGTATACATGTAATACCTTACACTACGCTGGAACATTTTAACCTGGACCTCAGATGTTGTATACATGTAATACCTTACACTGCGCTGAGACATTTTAACCTGGACCTCAGATATTGTATACATGTAATACCTTACACTGCGCTGAGATATTTTAACCTTGACCTCAGATATTGTATACCTGTAATACCTTACACTGCGCTGAGACATTTTAACCTTGACCTCAGATATTGTATACATGTAATACCTTACACTGCGCTGAGACATTTTAACCTGGACCTCAGATATTGTATACATGTAATACCTTACACTGAGCTGAGACATTTTAACCTGGACCTCAGATATTGTATACATGTAATACCTTACACTGCGCCGAGACATTTTAACCTGGACGTCAGATATTGTATACATGTAATACCTTACACTGCGCTGAGACATTTTAACCTGGACCTCAGATATTGTATACATGTAATACCTTACACTGCGCTGATACATTTTAACCTGGACCTCAGATATTGTATACATGTAATACCTTAGGGATTCTCATTCAATTTCCATATTTATATCAAGAATTATCCTTGAATTCAATATAATTATAATCCTTGGAATTTTTCCTTAATAAACAATATAATTTAAAAACTAAAGGATGAAAAAGCATTGGAAACGCAAATTAAGAATTACAAATGAAAAATATTGACTTTTAACATACACAATCACTGATTAGAACGGCAGGTAGGTAGCATATGCCAACATGGCTGAAGTTTTTATGTTCTGTATTTAAAAAAAAAGATTTGCGGGCAAATTATGAAAGTATTCAGAAAAACTGTTGGCAAAATGGTCATTTCGAATCATTTAAGTGAATATGTTCTATCTTTAAAGCCTCATTGGGAATTGGGAATTTGAGAAGATGAATTAGAAAAAATGAGCGTTTCCTTTGCTTTTTATGTGCATGTAGTATCTTAGTGTCATGAATATTGCAATATTTAGCAATAATATTTTATAAATTCATAATGATATCACAAAACAATTAACTGATACTCAATTTTCAACATGGTATACATGTACATTCTATGCTTAAATGTATAAAACATTAGTAGAAATGTTAACATCGGCATTTGATTTCCCCCCAAGGTATACACACCATTTATGGTAAGCTGATTCTATCCCTTAATTAACACCCTTATTATTAACCGGATCATATAATTTCTTGTAGTTCAGTATTGCTGAATTCATTCATATTTCATTATACTACGGGTGTCATCTGTATTCGTATCAATGACAAGTTAATAGTAAAATCAACTTAAACTATGTATGGCAAACGCTTTTTTTAAACGGGAGGGGAGGGGAGCCATCTCCGTATGAAAGGCTTATTAAACGGGCAATGCAAGATTCCTACATAGAACAGGAATTATGACTTGTCATAAATAAAGACATAAGCGGCAAAAACTAAACTTTGAAATGGCATTAGTTGTATCAGAGACATATTATGTGTATATATGTCTCTGGTTGTATGTACAAATGTAAATTTCTATATGGACAACTTGTATAGGCTCTTGCCTATTTTGAGGTTTTTATATGGTATGAACACATGTCTATAATTTATTGTGCCTTTAGGAGATGTCTCGTCCGTTTTTCCTGTGTTTGATAGTTGTGTTATCATTGCCGTATTATAGAAAATTTCGTTTTTCATGTGGTTGATAGTTGTGTTATCATTGCCGTATTATAGAAAAGAAAAGATATGGGTATCCATCCATGACACAAAATTAGTATATGCACAGCAAAAAACACAAAAGGCAAAGGAACAGCGCTTTTATTGCTGTTCTTCATCTCAAAGTCACCGTGACCGACCGTGCAAGACCCTCATGGTGAGTCAAGGTCGTTAAAAGCCCCCTCGTCGTCAAGTCACATTGAGGCTTTCAACACGGAGCAAAAAAACCCAAAAAACTCTCACCTCACTGCAAGTTTAAGACGGCCGATAGCGCCGGTTTGAGCGGAATTCCCCATATAACATATTCCATACCTGAAAAGTCACTCAATGTTACTTTACTTCAAAATTTTCCCCACGATTTCAAAATGTTCTGATGGCTTCAAGAATTTTAAGATCGAAGAGTATAATTCTCGTTTTTGCTGTAAATTATACCTCAAGTAAACCACCCTCAAGATGGCCTCTAAGACACAATATTTTCAATAAGTATTCTCTCTAAGACACAATGTTGTCAATGTGTATTTTCTAAAACACAATGTTGTCAATGTGTATTTTCTAAGACACAATGTTGTCAATGTGTATTTTCTAAGACACAATGTATTCAATGTGTATTAGAAAGTTATAACAATGCATGAAAATACGTACTTTGAGCTTAAAGCTTTCATGTTCTTTGATATGGTAAAGATAGGTATTATCCAATGTTGTAGTATTGTTTTACGTGTACCTGTGTCTTTTCATTTTTCATTGCGCCATAAAATTAAAAGAGAAAGGTAAGAGTAAAAACTAGTTAAACATCGAACCATG